CCCCCCCCCCAATCACCCATCCTGGTTGCCTTGCTTTGGGGGCCTTCCCAAGCCTGCTGGACAGCAGAGGGTAGCCTTGAAGTGAGAGGCACTGTGGCGACAGTGGGCAGGGCAGAGTGGTGGCACCAAGCTGACGTGGGAGAGACTGCCGGATGCTGCCAGGCTGACAAGACCTGCTGTAGAGGCCATTACCATACAGCAGCACACGTACTGTGGGGCCCTCAGGAGACTGGGGACCGCCGAGCACTAGAGTTAGCAGAGATGGTGTTCTCCGTGCTCAGACACAGGCTGGGTGACACTGAGGACAGCCTGCTGGCCTAGGGGCTGTGGGGTGGGCAGGCGGGTGCCAGCCACGTGGCATGGGCAGGTCGCCACTCCAGCTAAGCCTTGGTTTCCGCATTTGTGACGGGAGAAGGTACTGGGTTGTTTCCCAGGCCTTCCAGAGCTTGTCATGCTTCCCAGATTCTTGACCACCAGTCAGCCTGACGACCCAGAGCCCTGACTGCCAGGCCAGGCATTTTCCCTGAGGGTTACTGTGGAGACGGGCACTTCTCAAGACTGCGGTGACGCACTCTGCTCTTCTTCAGGGCTTGGTGTTCGCGGGGGACAAGGCTTCCATGGCTGCAGCCAGCGTGACCCCTCCCAGCTCCCTAGACGTGCTGCAGCCCGGCTTCTCCAAGACTCTCCTGGGGACCAAGCTGGAGGACAAGTACCTGTGCTCGGCCTGTAAGAATGTCCTGCGCAGGCCCTTCCAGGCGCAGTGTGGCCACCGCTACTGTTCCTTCTGTCTGAGCAGCATCCTCAGGTATGTGGGTGGGATGGGCAGGGGTGGGGTTGGCCGCATGGCTATGCTGGCCGGGGAGGTGGCTCTGGGCAGACTGTGCTCAGGTGAACCCTCGCTGACGGCACAGGGTCACTGCAAACAAGCAGAAGTGAGACCCCGTAGAGATGGGTCCAAGCTGACATTGTGTGGCATGTGGAAGTAACCCTGGGTTACTGGGGTTGGTTTCTGCTGGTCTCCTGTTGCTGGTGTGCACACAGGCAGTTTCACATGTGCACTGGCTGGTGGTGGGTGTGTCGGGCACCTACCTCTAGAGCACAGGCACCTGCTGAGCCCCACGCAGGGCCTGCTGGGCAAGCCTGCAAGGCGGGGGCCCTGCGGCTCGGGGTGCCTGGTGGCAAGGTGAGATGGCCTCTACCTGCTGCGGGTGTGCTCTGAGAGGGAGCGCCTCGTTCACAGTGGGGCGATCGTCGGAGGATCACATCTCCTCACTGTTCTGAATGTTTGAACATCATGTTGACGTGTGCTTGTTGCTAACTTGGGGGACAATGGGGATATGCAGCGTGGCCTGGCTGGCAGATGTGGCCGAGTGTCCTTGGAGTAGGTCTCATGCGGCACCACCCTCTCCCCAGCTCCGGGCCCCAGAACTGTGCTGCCTGTGTGCACGAGGGAATATACGAGGAAGGCATCTCCATCTTAGAGAGCAGCTCGGTGAGTGGCTAAAAGTGTTGAAACGGACAGAAAACATTTCCTCTAATGACACCAATGGCAGATGAAACTTCATCAGCTAGAAATGATCTGCTGCTGCGTCACGTGGGGTAGGCTGCGGGGTTGGGAGGAGGCTTCACCGCAGGCCGCTCTCTCCCCAGGCGTTCCCAGACAATGCTGCCCGCAGGGAGGTGGAGAGCCTGCCAGCCATCTGCCCCACCGATGGCTGTACTTGGAAGGGGACCCTCAAGGAGTACGAGGTAGGGCCTGCCTGTGTACACAGCCTCTGCGAGGCAGTCCCTCGCCGCACACAGTGTGACGGAGCTGTGCGACACCTGCTGGGTTCACCTGTCTTATGTCTGTGGAAGGGGTCCATTGGCACTTCTAATGTGTCCACTTAGATGCCCACTTGCACGGAGCCCAGACCCGCTCCATGGAGCCCAGGCAGCATGGCCCCAGTTTCCCAGTCTGGAATGATGTGCAGCCCCTGTGTGGGGTGGCAGGGCACGTGCCACCCGAGAGCTGCTGCAGCGAGTCCTGTGCGTGCAGGAAGCCAGCTTTCTCGTTTGGTGGGACTTCTCTGGCAAGTCCTCAGACAAGTGCTTTCCAACTTTGAATTGTGCTGACTTTGGAAATTGCAGAAGTCATCTGCACATTTTCCCCAGGGTCATAGAAAGGCACCTGGCCCATGATGTGCAGTGGCCAGTGTGCATCTCCTCCGTGGCCTATCTGCTGGGCAAGTGGCTTGTGTCCCTGCATTAGCATGCTGGCGTCTGTGTGATGGTTCTGTGCTCATTCAGGGCTCTGGTCACCTCTCTTAATGACTGCCCTTTACAGTGACATCCCAGATGGTTACTGGTACACAAGGGTCACAGTGGCCAATTGCCCACCAGCTAATGCATGGTGTCCAGACCATGGAACATTATCTGGCCATAAAAAGGAAGGAAATCCTGACACAAGCTACAGCGTGGACAGACCCTAAAGACATTGTGCTCAGCAAGATGAGCCACACATAGAAGGACAATCCTATAGGATCCCACATGCATGAGGTCCCTTGAGGAGGCTGAGGCGGAGACAGGAAGTACAGTGGTGGCCTGGTCTGGGGGAGGGTTGTGGTCAGTGGTACAGAGTGACAGACTGGGCTAGGTGAGTGGTGAGGCCAATGCCTTGGTATCACCAGGACAGCCCAGTTGGTGAGGCTGGGGAGCCATTTGTGTGGGACCCAGGTTCCTCCATGGTTAGCTGAGCTCCTGCAGGGCTACCCAGGCCACGGGCAGGGCTGGGAATGAGCCACCTTGGCAGTGGACAGCAGAGAGGGGTGGGGGGCATTGGCCGTTGGGTCTGCATCAGTATCCTAGGTTCTTGGCAGGCTCTCCTTTCTGCTTCTGGCCTGTGCACTGTGCTCACTCTCTGGACCATCTTGATGTCTTGATGGCATGGTCTTCGGGCTCTTGGGGAGGAGTTCTGGGGTGCAGGTGAGGAAATGCACTAGGTCCTGGGAGTGGAGCAGCTCTGGACTCTTGCACCCTTCTGTGCCTTTCTGGGAGTGAGGGACTTCTGCCTGTGGTTGTAGCTGCCCAGGGCCACTGTGCTCACCTGCACAGATAGGTGATGTTGCTACATCCAACCCTCAGCTGTTACTGCCCAGGTGACTAGAGAGGCCTTGGAGTCAGGGTCTCTCCTGAGAGGGCAGGCCATGTAGGGTGTGCAGTACTGTGCTGCCTTTTGAGAGGACCAAGACCCCTGGGGACTAACCCCCACTACTGATTCCTCTGGGGTTTCTGCCGCCTCCAGGCCTGTGGTGTGGGCGATGGCTTCATGGGCCTCTGGCTGAGGGCAGGGACCACAGCCAGCCCTGGGCTCTTGCCATGGCCGGCAGGCATGCAGGCTGGAAAGTCCCTGGCTGTCCCCAGCTCTGGAAAGTCCCTGAGAGCTGGGTTTGGTCATGTGGGAGGTGGTGCTGCTCTGGGACACTTGCTGGCTGTGGCCTTTGATAACTTGATGAAACCTCTCCCCGGCTGTCAACGCCGCAGGCCTCGGTGCACAGGTGCCCCCCACCTCTGCCAGAGCTGGAGCCCTAATGTCATCCCTGAGCTGGCTCGGTTATCCTTGAGGTTGCTCAGAGTTAGGGTGTGTTGTGAGATGCTCGTACCACGGCCCAGTCAGATGAATGTGGAAAGATAGGAGAGACCCTGCTTAGCCTTTGAATGTTTTTCCGCTGCAGTGACGTCTAGTATTTTCTAAGAACTCAGGTGTTTGTGGAGCCTGCTGGGTGCTCATCGTGGCGATAACCTGCACGGCCAGCTGCTCTGGAGTGAGAGGGGCTGAGAGAGGCCGTGGCTGGCAGAGAGGCGAGTGTGCTCCATCTCTGCTATTTGCTTAAATGTCTAGTTGGAATTTTGGTTGAATAAACGTTGCTTTCTCTGACACATGGTTCTTTCTGAAGGTCTCCTGAGGGGGGGAGCTGACACAACTGGTTCAGGCCCGTGCAGTGGTGGCACAGCATCCCCACTGTGGACACGGACCTGGGGCGGTGGGCAGGTGTGGTCCACAATGGCCCACGTGCCCTTCTCCCCTTGTGTAGTGCCTGCACTCTACATGGTCCTTTCAGTCGGCCCACGTCCCCCGAGGAGTTTGTCTTGCTGAGAGCACACTCTTAGGGAGCCCACAGGCCCTAATTATAGGTGCTGCACCAAGATATATTTTTTTAACCCTTTTTTAGCCAGAGGATATTTTTTCCATTGCTTTTCAGAGAGAGTGGAAGGGGTGGGGGAGAGACCGATGTGAGAGAGACGCATTGGTTGGTTGCCTTCTGCATGCGCCCCAATAGAGGACCAGATCGAGCCTGCACCTGAGGTGCATGCCCTTGGCCATCCAGCCCGGGACCCTTCATTCCACAGGCAGACACTCTTAACCGCTGAGCCACACTGGCCAGGGCTGCACTGAGATCTTTGCTGAGGCCCCTCTGGTTTTGTTGGAGTGGCTGCTCTGTGCTCAGTGTGGCCCAGGCTGGGCCCTGCCCCCAGTGCTGGCAGGGCAGCAGGATCCATAGAATAGAGGTCCTGACCCCCTGGGGGAGCCTGTGGCCCAACTTGGGGAAGAACTGACCTGTCCTCCCAGTTGCCTCTGAGGCTTCAGGTTCTCTACTGACCCACTTGGCTCCCAGCTCATATCCAGGTCCCACCCTTTCTCACCCTCCCCTCCAGTCCGAGTGGTCATCCCAGGTCCCTCAGTACCCTCAGGGTCTCCCTGTTGGCTCATTCACAGCAAAGCAGCAACCTGAGGCTGGTCTGAACTTGGGTCCCTCAGATTCCTGACTCCTGAGACCCGAGCCGGCCCCTCCCTCCTCGACCTTCTCCCGTGCTGCCCTGGCTCATCCTGGGTTGCTCCCAGGCCTCCCCTCATCTGACCCTTGCAACCTGTAACCCAGAGAGTCCCAGGCTGGGACGCTGCCTCCCTCAGACAGGCCTTAGGGCCTTCCTAGCCATGTCACCCTGTACCGCCGGCTCTGGAAGGTGGGGCTCACCAGCTCTAGGTGTGGAGTGGCAATGAGTGGTAGGCTCCTGAGTGTCTTCTCTGCTTCTTGCTCTGGCCCCATGGCCCCTTCTCATAGCCATTGACTCTGGTCACTCCTCTGCCTTCTGTCCTGGCCGGCTGGCGCCCAGCTGGCTTTGTCCCTGTGTCACCGGCTGTGGCTCTCCTGCCCCCTCTGGTGCCCTCCCACTTTTCCTGCCTTTCTGCACCTGTCCCCATCCCCACCCTGTCGGCCCCTCTCACTCTCTGGCTATGGTCCTATGGTCTCCAAATATCACTCAGAGCAGTCCCCTCTGTACCCCATGGTCAGGCATCGGGAGGGACATTCTTGGGGCTGTGGTGTGGGTAGGGTGCCACCAGCTGGAATAGGTCCTTACCTCTGACCCGGAGCAGAGGTATTGGAGGGATTTTGATTCTCAGAACGTGGGTGGTAGCCCTTGCTGGCACTGTGGGGCTCCTGAAGCAGGAGCCACAGCTGGGTGGCACCCGCAGGGTGGGCGCAGCGTGGCTGCCACCATGTCCTGCATGCGCTCTGTGGACACCTTGCTTCCTCTGTTGCCAGAGTTGCCATGAAGGACACTGCCCGTTCATGCTGACCGAGTGCCCGGCGTGCAGGGGCCTGGTGCGCCTGTGCGAGAAGGCACGCCACGTGGAGCAGGAGTGCCCCGGGAGGAGCCTCAGCTGCCCGCACTGCCGGGCCCCCTGCTGCTGGGCCGACGTGACGGTGAGGCAGCGAGCAGCCAGCTCAGTGTGCTGCTGGGGCTGTGCGGCGGGAGACCCTCAGTGGGGAACTTGGTTGGGTGTGGGGTCAAAGCCAAGTCATTTTAGGAAGCTGTATTATTTCAGGAAAGTTCACACACAGGAGGGTAGCGCAGATCCCATCACCTTACAGGGTATGTCAGTGTCACCCCACGCCAGGCTGAGTCCGGCCTCCAGGCTGTTACTAGACCACTCCCCTATTTTGTGTTTCATCCAAAAATTCTCCCGTGCGCCTTGTTTGTGCAGACCTCTCTGTGTCACCACCATGTCTAAACTTGAGGGCAACTCCTTATCGTTGCTTGTCACACGCTCGCTCTGTGTGTCTGAGTGTCTGTGCTGGTCACTGATTGTCACCAGGACCCAGACAGTCCTGCCTGTGTTTTGCTGATACGACTGCGAGGCCTGTCTTCCTCTCCAGTGGTTTCCTAGGGGTTTTTGTTCACCATTTGTTTGTTGAAGAGGTTGGCCAGCTTGCCTTGGCTGATTGCATCCCTGAGGTATCCTTAACGCGTTCCTCTGTTCCCTCTTTCCATAAACTGTTAGATCTTGGAGACCTGGTCAGGGCAAGCATGTCGGGTGGACTCCAGGAGCCTTGCAGCATCTACAGGGTCTTAGGGATGTTCCAGCTGGTCTGTCACCAGAAAGTCCCTCCATTCTCGGCTAGGCCACCTCAGCCATCTCCATCCCACATGGCCCTGTCTTAGTCAGGACTGCAAGTGGTCCCACTCCTCTGAAAGTCTCTGTTAGCAACTCGTCTTTGTTGTGTTGCTCCGGATGCCACCAGATGAGAGGAGGGTCTAATATCTCTGAGATTCCCACAGGGCCTGCAGGACCCGCCAGTGTCTAGCACCATCATGGGGTTGGGGTCTTGGGGAACCACAGGCCCCCTGGAGCTGAGGACAGTGACGCCAAGCACAGCATGACCAGGTGCTAGGCGTGGTGCCAGCATCAGCATATCCCCAGTGTCCCACCCCTAACGCTCCTGACCGCTTCTCTTTAAGGCGCACCACGAGGTCTGCCCCAAGTTCCCCTTGACTTGCGATGGCTGTGGCAAGAAGAAGATCCCACGTGAGAAGGTAAGTTGTGTCCTGGTGCCTCTGAGATCAGCAAGGATGGTGTAAGCCTTGGCTGTGAGGGGCCTGTGCTGCGTGCTGTGGGATTACGACCTGGCGCCCCAGGGAGAAACGATGGCCTGTGTGTGGGTCACCTGTGGGCTACTCTTCTGTTACACTGTCAGTGATGGAAACAACCACACCTGGGCGGTGGTAGAGTACACAGTATTTCCTTTGAACATTCCTGAGGTTCAAGCGTGCTGGGTGGCCGCCTCCCTATCCCAGCCCCTCCGTCCCACAGTGCAGGTTCAGGTTACAAGCAGTAGGAATCCTGGCTCTGTTTTAAGAGAAAATTCACCCTGGGTTTGTACTGATCTCTCAGTTCAGTTTTTTACCTCCCAAATCTAATATTCTTCCTGCTACAGAAGATCTTAGTCCCTGATGATCTGGGAACAGTGTTCATGGTGTCGTCTGGCTGTGTAATCATCACTGTGGCGCCCGCAGGCTCGCTGCTCTGGGAGGGTATGCGTCTGTGTGGTCTCGTCACGAGTGTTCTCCACTGAGCAGACAAGCTGCTGGGTCAGCCTGCCATTCAGCTCACTTGTCCTTTTGCTTTTGAGTTCTTAAGATGCTCTTTTAAAAAACTGCCTTGTAGCAGTTTTTGTAAAATAGTCACAGCTCCAAAGTGAAAACTAGAAAAAGGCTTTCTGAGACGTCAGAGGGAGATGCAGGTGGTTTGTCAGCTCAGACCCAGGCGTTCAGAAACCTGCACCCTGTCAGCCAAGAGAATACCTGGGTCTCCAACCTGCCAGCAGGGTGTCAGGTCAGCGCTCCGGGTCTCACCCTGGTGACTGGGAGGACCGTGTTGGGGCGACTGGAGTTGTGTTCTCCTGCATGAGCCTGGTTGAGCGCTTTCACTTCATGTTTGTTGGTGTTTCTCTTACGTTTGATAAGAATTCGCAGCTCCTACCTACTTTTTAAAAAAATTTATCTTTATTGTTGAGAGAAATATGAAACGCTTCACGAATTTGCGTGTCACCCTTGCGCAGGGTCCATGCTAATCTTCTCTGTATCGTTCCAATCTTAGTACATATGCTGCCAAAGCAAGCACTCCTGCCCACTCCTTGGCGGAGCTTCTGGTCTGTCTTTCCTGTTTGGGACTCTGTGTTAGGGCCTTTTGCACTTTTGCTTGCTTCCTGGTGGTTTTGCTTCGGGAGCACTGTCAAGGTTTCTCTTGCAGTTTCTGATTGTGATTCAGAGGGGGGACTTTTTCGCTCTGGAGGTTGGGTTTTCTCACATCCCAGGTCCCTGGTGGGTGGCGTAGGAGGGACCACTTCTGGGTGTCCTGCCGCTGCTCCACCTGTGGGAATGTGAGCCTGTTTTCGCCCTCCCTGAGCCCAGGTGCTGCGTGTCTGCTCAGCAGCCTCTCTGTTCAGCTCCGTGGGTCTTGTGTTGTCCTGCACCAACACCACACTAGGTCAGTGTCGTTGCCTGGTCCCCTCTTTATTCTGGGCTCCGGGGAAACCAGCTTCTGGCTCCAGGGCCTGGGGCCTTGGACACGCTGCACCCCAAGACTATGGTGGAGGGACCAGGATCTCCACAGGTGTCCTGAGGTGTTGGTCCCAGGCTGCACCCACCTCGGTTATGGCCACTGTGAGCATATGTGTGTGTATTGTATGTAAGTGCATGTGAGTGTCTATGTGGGGGGGATGTGTGCAGGTGTGAGTGCCGGTGTGTGCATCTGTGTGTGTGTGCCATTGTGGGTGTGTGCAGATGTATGCGAGCACATGTGTCAGCATGCGTGTGCAAGCATGTGTGAGTGCCTGTGTGTATGTACAAGTGCGTGTGTGTGTCTGGAAGCATGTTTGAGTGTGTGTCTGTGTGTGTGTGCAGGTGTGTGTACATCTTTGGCCTTGGAAGTGGGCTCTTGGGTTTTGGTCAGACAAGAGTGCAGAGGTGGGGTGGGGTGGGCCAGTGACCCTTGTGAGCTCTGACCTGGCCCAGAGGTGCAGCATCTGACGCCACGGCCTTCTAGTTTCAGGACCACATCAGGACCTGCGGCAAGTGCCCAGTGCCCTGTCGGTTTCACGAAGTCGGCTGCCCCGAGATGGTGAGTCCAGGTCCTCCTGAGTCCCCGCCTCCCGCACCAGGTGCCCCCTTCCTGAACCTGGTTTTCAGTGGCCCCCACCAGCCTCCTATTCGCTCCCACTGCCCTAGTTGCCTGTCCTTCGCTACCTGGCCCTCAGGTTCCCAGGCTTAAGCCCCAGGCTGCCCTGCTCACTCTCTTCCCACTGATCTCCACCTCTGGTGGCCCCAGCCCTAACCACCCCCATCCGCTGAAAGCACCCAGTGCCTCGCACCTCCCTGACACCCCCTTGGCATCTCATACCTCAGGCACAGGCCAGTCTTCCACCTCGTCCAAAATGAGTACCTGGGTTCACCCAGCCTCACTGGCTAAATGTCCAGCAGTCATTCTTGACTCTCTTGTCTGCTATGTCACGTCCAGTGAGCCGGATGGTCCTGCACTCTTCCTAGCAACAAATAGGTCCGGGACCCCACCTGCCTCCCACCTCCCCAACTCACCTCTGAGGCCTGCATGGTTCTTCCTGTGTGACCTTGGCTCCCGCTGCCTGTGACCTCCTCTCTGCTGCAATTACTGGCCTGGCCATCCTCCAGCACACTGACCTCCTCCTACCCAAACTGACCTCATTGGTCTGACCCTGGATCTCAGGCCCCAAGCATAGCAACAACTGGCTTTTTTTTAAAAATCTGTACCCAAGTATACTTCCTCCATTGCTTTTTCCAGAAAGAGTGAAAGGGAGGGAAGGAGGGAAGGAGGAAGGGAGAGAGAGAGAGGAAAACACTGACGTGAGAGAGACACATTGATTGGTTGCCTCGGGCATACACCCCGACTGAGGCCGGAGATTGAGCCTGCAACCGAGCACATGCCTTTGATCAGGAATTGAACCCAGGACCCTTCAGTCCGTAGGCCGATGCTCTAACCACTGGGCAAAACCGACTAGGGCAACAGTTGGCTTTTTAATTTTTTATTTAAATATATTTTTATTGATTTCAGAGGGAGGGAGAGGAAGAGAAAAAGAGAAACATCAATGACTACAGAGTCATTGATCGGCTGCCTCCTGCACGCCCCCGACTGGGGATCGAGCCCACAACCCGGACGTGTGCCCTGACCGGGAATCCAACGGAGATCTCCTAAATCCTAGGTCAATGCTCAACCACTGAGCCACGCCTGGCCAGGGAACAGTTGGCTTTTTTAAACCATCCATGTACAGCAGTCCCCACAGCTCCCTGGAATGCCTGGGGGCTCCTGTCTGAGGACTATGGGGTTGGCTCCTTGGGGTGGGGGTGCCTCACATGCAGGTTCCTTGTTTCTTTCTTCTTTTGATTTGTTGAGTGTCAGACTATCTGAAATTTGTTGTGGACATTTGGAAGAAACACGGCTGCAAAGTCAGATCTGTGGAGCAAAGACTATCCAAAGAGGCTTCTTTTTATTGCCCTCCCTCCAGCCCCGGGGGTGTTCCTCCTGTCACTGTAAATATAGGCCAGCAAGTGAGTAGGAAGGTTTGTGTGTGAAACACGACCGACTTCCGACAGTGACAATGAAACGTGGGCAGGCAGATGGGTGGAAAGGTCACTCATATATGTTGCCACCTCGCTTTCCGGCACCTGTGTGCTCTGCCGAGGCCATGTGTGTGGCGGAGCCGGGTCAGGACTGAGCACAGGTGTGGAGGAGGGCAAGTGCCCTGTGTGGTCTCTGCAGGTGGAGACCGAGAAGCAGCAGGAGCACGAACTGCAGCAGCTCCGGGAGCACCTGGCCATGCTGCTGGGCGTACTCCTGGAGGCCAAGCACCTGTCCCTGGGCCCAGGGCCAGAGCTCTCCAAGGCTGCGGAGCTCCTGCGGAGGTGTGAGGCCTTGGAGAGGAAGACTGCCACCTTTGAGAACATTGTGTGTGTCCTGAACCGGGAGGTGGAGAGGGTGGCCATGACTGCTGAGGCCTGCGGCCGGCAGCACCGGCTGGACCAAGACAGGATTGAAGCCCTGAGTAATAAGGTTTGTGCCCGGGGCTGGGGTGGCCTCCTCGAGCCAGGACTTTGGGGACAGTGCCTGGACCCCCAGCTTGGTGTTGGCCTCTGCCTCCCTCTCTGAACAGAGCCCCTTCCTGAGCCCATTCACGCACGGACCCGACTCTGGGGGCAGAGGGAGCCATGGGACGTGTGCTTGCAGTCTGTCAGGACACCCTTCGAACCCCAGGCCGAGTGGGGTCTCCTGGGGATGGGGCTGACCTGAGAGAGGCTGACCCAGGGGAGCCTCAGGAGCACGGGAAGACAGGAGAGCTGGGCGTGGTGGTGGTTTTACAGCCCCTTCCTGTGAGATGGAAGGAGGTCTCCATAGAACAGCGTGGAGCAAGCCCACGACCCCTCATCCTTCTGGGGCTCCATGTGCCCCCAGGTGCAGCAGCTGGAGAGGAGCATCGGCCTGAAGGACCTGGCAATGGCCGACCTGGAGCAGAAGGTTCATGAGATGGAGGCATCCACCTTCGATGGGGTGTTCATCTGGAAGATCTCGGACTTCGCCAGGAAGCGCCAGGAGGCTGTGGCTGGCCGCATACCAGCCATCTTCTCCCCAGGTATTGTTCCCCAGCTACTGCTATCCTGGGTGTCCATGTCCCATCCCCACCCCACCCCCAGGCTGGGGTCTGTCCCCGGCTCATGCCAGGAGCCTGCTATGCCTCCCTGAGAGCAGGGGTGGGTGACTAGTCCTCCCTGTAGTGGGAGCCCCCACCAGGACTCGGCTCCTTGCCCCTTGCAGTCACTGTCCCCCATCTCGACACGGCCACCAGGAGGGCAGCTGCACCAGGCGGGACCCCCCCACACCAGGCCTATTCTTCTGTACACCCCATGTCCAGCTGCTGGCTGTTCTCATGCCCCCTTTTCAATGCCCAGTTTGTGGGTCTCCTAGAGGGCAGTATGCAGAGGGAGGTGGAGGAAGAGTCTGTCCTCTGTCCCTCAGGGGAGGCGACCGGGTGGGCCTTGCCTCTGTGGTGCCCCTGCCTCACCCTCCACTCACCCCCTAATCCCCCACAGCCTTCTACACCAGCAGGTACGGCTACAAGATGTGCCTGCGTGTGTACCTGAATGGGGATGGCACCGGGCGTGGCACACACCTGTCTCTCTTCTTTGTGGTGATGAAAGGCCCCAACGACGCCCTCCTGCGCTGGCCCTTCAACCAAAAGGTGCGCCAGTAGTCCTGCGGCTGCAGTGGGGCCCTGGGTGCCTGCAGGCTGGCGAGGTTGTTGGGCTGGTGCTGGGGCTCCTTGCCCCAGACGTGTATGTGGGCACTATCACTGAGCACTCTGGTAGTCACCAGCTTCACTGCCACTTGGACCAGCAGTGAGAAATTTGGCCTGGGAGAGCCTGTTTCCAAGGGGGGACCTTTTCCTGTGGAGTGATGCACCCCTGAAACCTTGAGATTTAGGGATGAGGTTTGCCAGAACTGCGCTCGCAGGAGGAGGCAGAGCAAAGGGTGAGGGTGGCCTCTCCTGAAATGGGCTATTCCTTGGGTGTGGACATCATTAAGCAAACACATGAGCTGATACAGGTCGATAGCACTAGGCTCAGCCTCGGGGCCCAGTGTCCATGGACAGAAAAATGCCAAAACGGGCAGTCACCCAGAGGGGCTGACCAGTGGGTGGCAGTCAGGCTCATGCTGTCCCTCCTGCACTCTCCTCCCAGGTGACCCTCATGTTGCTTGACCAGAACAACCGGGAGCATGTGATTGATGCCTTCAGACCCGATGTGACCTCATCTTCTTTCCAGCGGCCAGTCAGTGACATGAACATTGCAAGCGGCTGCCCCCTCTTCTGCCCTGTCTCCAAGATGGAGGCCAAGAATTCCTATGTGCGGGATGATGCCATCTTCATCAAGGCCATCGTGGACCTGACAGGGCTCTAGCCACCTTCAACTAGGTCAGGTCAGGGGCAGCCTGGCCAGCGTCTTGGTGACAGCAACCATGCTGGGCCTGGGCCTCGCTGTGGTGGGCAGGAGCTGAGTTCAGGTCCTGTCCCGCGGGGAAGGAGCCACCTCCAGGGGAGGGCGCTCAGCCCCAGGTCATGGCTGGGCCGTGGGCCTGGAGAGCTTACCGCAGGCTGTCCTGTGGGTGCTCGGAGCTCTTGCCATGCAGCAGGAGCAGCTGGGCAGGTGAGCAGAGGGCAAGCGGGTTGCAAGGGGAGGGCCACCCCAACTAGGAGCCCCAGTGCCTGGTCCTACCCTGTGGCCCTGGAGAGAAGGGACAGTCTAGGGCCTGGCCGTGGTCTGAGGGGACCTGCTCTGCCAGCCTGGCCAGGCCAGGGGGCAGGGAGGGGCCTCGGCCTTAGAGCATCCTGTCAGCTTGCCCCTGTGGCATGTGCAGGGTGCACACTCAGTCTCCCCAAGAGATATGTCAGCTGCCCCGTCAGGCTGCGGGAAAGTTGTCATTAAATCGTTACACCTCTGTGATTAAGTGGTGTCCGTTGGCTCCAGCCTTGGTGGTGGTGGACTTGCAGGGGCTCCTTCCTGGCCTCACAGCCTGGCCTGCATCTCCAGCTCCCCAAGTAGCTCTGTGGGTTCCCTGACACTCCAGCTCACTCCTGCAACATGGTGAAGCTGGCGGCTCTTTCTTCTGGAATGTTCTTTGCCAGCTGTCTCCTCCCTCAGACCTTCCAGGGGCTGCCTCGAGAGCAGTTCTGGGCCTGCCCCACCCTATGGAGCATGCAGGGACCCCAGCTGGGGGAGCAGCCAGTGGCTTTGTTGGTGTTTGGGGACCTGACAGCAACATTGCCCCTCCCTCCCCCAAACCAGGACTTCTCTGGGCGCCAGCAGCCGCAGACCCCTGGGGTAGCCTGGCCACAGGTGGACCTCAGTAGATCCGGGTCAGGCCTCAGCCTCTGGGGTGAGGATGGGTGGCTGTCCTTATTTTTGGGACCTGTGAGCCAGGCTGGCACAACTGCCTGGGCATCTTCAGAGAGAACCCTTAACATCTGACTGCCCTTGACACTGTCACTGTCTCTCTGGGGAAGTTAAAGGACAGAAAAGCAGAGAGAATGATGAAATAAGCATGTGTGTCCATCCCTGGATCCACACATGGGAGCTGTTGCACCTGAAGCACCTCCTTAGCTCCAGGCACCATCTTCAGCAGTTTGCTGGGCTTAAATTTTCTTTCACTGTTTCTTTATCCACAAACAAGACTATTGCACTTTTAAAATGTGTTAAGACTCAGACTGAATCATCGACAGGTAGCTGTTTCCCTCCCTTGGGTTTTAAAACCTGTCATGCTGGACCGTGAGTTCCCTGGATGCCTGGCTTTGGTGGGGACTGTAGTGCAAGCAGGTGTCTGCTCCTCCAGGACCTCGGAGAATAGCCAGTCTGTCCTTTCTGTCGTTTGTTGGTCTTGTCTATCTGGTTCTCGGTGGCACTGTGGAACTGTGTGGTGATACTGCCAGGTCACACAGAAAGTGCAGTTTAAATTCTGCAACTATTTTCCAGAGCAGCTGCAGGGTCTGAATGTGTCACTCACACTCTTTCGCGCACACACAAACAACAAATGCACACTTTGAAGCTCTGACCCCAAGGTGAAGGTGTTGGGAGGTGGGCTTTTGGGAGGTGATTAGGTTGTGAGGGTGGGGCCCCCGTGATGGGATCAGTGCCCTTATGAGAGGGACCCACAGAGCTCACCCATCCTGTGAGGACACCTTGAGATCTGCCACCTGAATGAGGGTTGTCCCCACCTTGCTGGCACGTGACCTCAGTCCTCAGCCTCCAGCACTGAGGGCTGTTGTTTGTAAGCCCCCAGCCTCTGCTGGGTGGTGGTTGCAGCCCCAGTGGACCAAGGTGGCAGCTGGACCCCTTCTTGTTCCCGCCTGTCCTCGTGGGCAGTGTGTGTGCTTGTGTGTGTAACAGGTGTGGGTTCTGTCTGGGTTTTAATTTGCACATCTCTAATGTCTAATAACGTTGAATATCTTTTTTGGTGAAGTGTGTGTTTGTTTCTTTTGCTCATTTTTAACCTGAGTTGGTCATTTTCTTACTGCCGAGTTCTGAGTCAGTTACATAGTCTGGGTGCGGGTTTTGCTGGGTATCTGGTTTATAACTTTCCTCTTAGTCTGGTTTTTCATCCTCTTAAAGCGTTTTCAGAACCACCTTGTCTGTACCTACAAAAAGCCCTGCTGGGGTTCAGGGGAACCGTGGTAAATATGGAGAGCTGCTTGGGGAAAACTGACACCTGTGCCTTCTCCCTGTCCATGAACATGTTTGTAGTTAGGTCTTTGGTTCCATTTATCATCAGTTTGCAGAATTCCAGGTACATGCCCTGTGTTTTGTTAGGTTTAGGCCTAAGCATTGCTTTCTTGTTTAGCTAATGTAAAAGGTCTTGATTTTTTAGTTTTGGTTTCCGATTGTATTTTCCTAGTGTTAGAAGCGTGTTTGTTGAGTTACACTCATGTTCTGTAAGCTTCCCAAATGCACTTCCTGGTTCTAGGAGGTGGTTGGATTTTTTTGTAGATTGTGGAGGGTTTTATGTCTCAACAGTTATGTCACCTGTGAATAGGGACAGTGTCATTCCTGTGTCCCAGCCTGTGTGCCTGCCATTTCTCGTTCTTGCCTTGCTCCGCAGTGAGAGTGACAGGGTAGAGGGCGGGCTCTGCCTGGTTCCCCAAGTCTGATCTTACCTGCAGGTCTTCTGCTCCATGCCCTTCTTCAGGCTGAGCAGGTTCCCTCCCATCCTGGTTGGCTGAGTCTTCATCCCAACCAGGTGCTCTGTGAACGGTTACCCTGCACATCGACATGCTGGGCGAGTGCAGCTGCACCTCTGGAACCCAGCCTGCCTTGCACCCCTCCAGCAGCACCCACTCTTCATCTCAGGCTGCTGGCTCACGTTAGGGTGTTGCTGAGGGTTTTGATCTGTGTTGGCACAGACACTGGATGCGGTTTGCTGTTGCCAACTGTTTATTCAGGTCCTGAACAGGTGACTAGTGACATGCAGTTCACCCGGGCCCATGACAGACTGACCCGCATCACTGACCAGAGGGGGAGCCCAGAGCTCCCAGGGCAAGGTCGGACCAGGAACGCCACCCTGGGCCCCACAGGCCCAGCTGAGGGGTACTGTCGTGCTGACCGCCCAGGGCCCAGGCCCGGGGAAAGGGTGGGTAAAGAGGGGGCTCTGTGTCCTGTGCACTCCAAGCCAGCCAGGAGGCCGCCCCAGGTGCCCCAGTGCTAAGTGTCATGGCTGTGGGAGGCGGTGTGCGCGAGTGTGGTGGGAGTCAGGCCCTCCAATCCCTGCAGCCCCTGCCCGACCCCCTTCCTAAGGCATTACTGCTGTGAGCGCCTCTGCCCCCCACGCGATCTGGGCAGCAGCTCAGCCGTGGGAAAGGGCCACAGCCTCCGTGGGTCCTCAGTGGGTCCCAGCAGCCAGAGGACCGCAGGGTGCTCCTCTTGGCCGCGCCCTTCAGCGCCTCTGGCTGACAAACCAGGAGAAGGGGCGTGGGCGCGGAGCCTTGTGGATGCGCGTGGTGCGGGGCGAGCGCCAGGCTTTGATGGTGGCGTCGTCGCTGGCGGTCAGCAGAAGTTCCTGCTCCTGGGGGCTGAAGACCACCGAGTTGACCACGTCCTGATGCCGCAGCTTGGCCAGGCAGATGTTGTAGTGGCGGTCCCAGATGTAGCCGTGCCGGTCCTCGGCCCCACTGCGGGACGGCCTGGGATGAGCCCCTGCGTGCGACGCAGGGCCCTGCCCGCCCGCCGGGCACCCTTACCTGGCCACGAAGTCCCGGCTCACGTCCAGGAAGATGAAGAAGCACTCGTCGTTGGGCGTGTAGGCCCGGTGCGCGCGCAGGGCCCGCTTCACCTCCCGCATGGTCTTCAGGTCGAACACCAGCAGGTCGATTTCCTCCGCGATGGGCGGCGGCTGCATGGGGTCCGCCACCACTGAGCCGCTGGGCCAGGCGCGGCTGTTCACGTACAGGTACCTGGGCGAGGGGCACGCTGCTGGCTCGTGTGCGCACGGCCCGCAGACAACCCCACCTCCGCACCGTGCGCGCACCTATTGTCGGGGGACAGCCCCATGCCGATGATGTGTCCGTGCACGTCGATCACGTGGTCCAGCGCATCGAAGAAGGCGTCGGAGCCCCGCCCCTCTCCCAGCACGGGCCCGGCTGTGGTCATCTGGTGCGGCAGGATCTGCTTGATGCCTGCGGAAGGGCCAGGTGAGGGACCTCAGCACTCCCAGACTGCCATGGACCCTCGGCCCCCACGGACCCTGTGCTCTGGGGGTGGAATCAGGCTGGACCCCAGCGTGGACATGAAGCGACAGTGCCCAGGGCTCTGGGGACTGCGGACCGGCCCTGCCTGTAGTTACCGATCTGGTGCGGTGAGTAGGTGAGGCAGCCCGTGGTGAAGATGAGGAGCTTGTTCTGGGCGCTGGCCGCGCTGCGCTCAGGGGGCTTGGTGCGGCCCTGGGCCAGCAGCTCCGCCACCTTGGTCTCCAGCGTGCGCTCCGCCAGCGGCGGCGGTGCCCGCGCGTCCAGCAGCCCGTCCAGGAGGCGCCGCAAGCCCTTCTCGGTGCGCAGGGGGGCCTGGCCAGCCCCCTCACCCTCATCTTCGTCAATACCGTCGCTGCCAAGGTCAAAGACACGGCCAGGGGGCGCACTGGTGTCCAGCAGGAGGTCGGGGCTGTCAAAGCGACCGCAGTCGGCCACCATCACTGTGCGGATGGTGCTGGCGTTGAGGTTCTGGATCTTAAAGAGCCGCTTCACCACATTGACGTTCTCGGACTCAACATCCTGGGGGGGCGGAGCGCAGACGGTGGGTGACAGGCCAGTCCGGGGAGGGGGCATCACCACCTCGAAGCCACCCGCCGCACCTGGAAGGCGTTGTTGAGCCAGAGCACCGAGCAGGAGGTGATGTCTCCAATGCGGTGCAGGTTCCCTGAGATCAGGCTGGTCTCGGTAAGCCAGCAGCCGAACACGTCGTAGGGCTTGTTGCGGACACGGGACAGCAGCGCGAAGTTGTCTGTGGGGAGCGGGGGCTGGGCAGAGGATGGGCTACGGGAGGGGGCGGGGCCGGGGCACTGGGAAGAAGCTGGGAGAGGCAGGGTGTGGGAAGGGGCCAGTTGGGGAGGGGCGGAGAGCCAGCCGGCTCAGGCCCACTCTCACCTAGGCTGATGACCGCGATCTCGCCAGAGGAGGAGTTGTGGGGCCCCAAGAACACCCCCGAGGCCAGCAGCAGTGAGTCGTCCTGGTTGAACTGGGAGAACTGGGTGTAGCTCCAGTTGTAGGGCCGCATGTCTGCGCTGTGTAGCAGGGAGATGGTCAGGTCGTTGTTCCAGATCTGCGAGGGGGCAAGGGGAGTGTCAGTGGGCACCTGAAACCCATGCTGCAAGCTCTGGCCAACTGGCCCAAGCAGGTGTGTGGGGGGGGTTGCTCCTTGCTCCTGGCCGTCGGCCCACCTGAGAGGCGTGGGTACACAGGGATGGGGACCTGGCTCTGGAGCAGCAGGTTTCGAGCAGAACCCTCTCCTTTCTGTTGGCAGTTTTGGCCTCCCCAATTCCCCCCACACACACCTGGCCCTCTCCATGGAGATGTGGCAGACTGGGCGTCTCTCACCTCTGGCCTGGCCATGGTCCCAGCTCCCAGAGCCACTCTCACCTTCACAGTGCAGTCCTTGGAGCAGGAAGCAAACTGGTAGCCCGAATGGGAGAAGCTGAGGTGCAGGACCTGGTCAGTGTGCTCCCTGAGCGTCTGCACCTCCACGCAGGGCACTGTGTCATAGAGCCGCCGGAACTCCTCATACCAGGATGTGGCTGCTGCAAGGTGCATGGCAGGGTGGGTCACTGCTGGGGCCTTGACAGTGTGGGAACCAGCCCTGCCCCTGGAGCTCACTCGTCACCACTCAGGTCTTAGCTAGGGGTGCCCTTGCACCCCCTACCTCGGTGTGGCCCTGCCTACCGTTGGCCTCCCTGCCAGGCCCTGCACTCTCAGGCATGACCTGGCTGTGCCCCTTTGGTGTGAGGACCTGGGTAGCAGGTGCCCATCTGTGGATTCAGATGGTGGCCATGGGACGGCCTTGCCTCCCACCCAGCCATCCTGGGGGGCTGCGAGGCCACAAGCAGGTGCTGACCTGGGTGTCGGGGCACATCACGGGCCACCTGGTAGTAGCGGTAGAACTGCTCCCTCCACAGGAACTCATCTCGGGACACAGCCTGCCACTGGCGGCATACCAGCCCAGCGGCCAACACGTCTGCAGGGCCCAAGCTCAGGAAGATCTGGTAGACTAGGCAGTCAGGGAGCAGGGGCATGCCCCCCTCGTCCATCGTGACATTCTGCCCAGGCGGCCCTGAAACCCAGGCAGGACCCCCTTAGCCACCAGTCGGACCAGGGAGGATACTGGCCCCCAAACCGGGGAGAGGTGCAGGGCCCTGGGGCTGAGCTGAGGCAACCCTGGGGTCGTTCCTCAGCCCCACCAGCTGTCCCACTGGGAGTTTCATGGGACTGATGTTGTGCAGAGGGACAGTTGGCCAAAAATCCAAAAGCATCACCAAGCCTCCCTGGAAGGCCATGCTCCTCCGCCACACACTCCTGTGGGGTGCCCAGCAAGTCCCAGTTTCCCTGGAACAGGCAGCTTTTGAGCAAGCAACAGGCACCTCAACACCTCCAGGCCTGGTCCAGCCTGAAGTGGAGCCTGGGGGGGGGCCCAGACCCGCCCTCGCCCCAAAAGGTTTCAGGCTTTTGGGCGGGACCCTCTGACCACTCCGGACGTGGGCCCAGGGAGACATCTGGGTGCCAGGCCGGCGACCGCTCCGAGACCGAGGAAGGAAGGGGCCCGCGCACCCCCGTCACCGTGACCTTGCGGCCCCGAGGCTTCGGAGCCGTCGGCGCGGCACAGGGACTCCCTTCCCACGGGAGGCTTGGGGCAGCCCGCCCGCCCCCGCGCCACCAGCC